CAAAATTTGAAAGTCGGCCACAGCCCTAAAAGCCGTTTGGTAGTGGTGGAAAGGAATACCTAACCAATGAAAATTAATTAATGCCCGCCGCCACCACTGTTCCGTCATTTCGTGGGGGTTACAAACTTCACCAGATTAGTGATTGTTCCAAATTACGCCAAGAATATTTGTGTGTCTAACTGTACGAGTTAAAAAAATCGTAATCGTGCCGTATTAATTAAATAAAAACACCGTTCGAAATTACGAATAAAAGGGCTGGCAGGCGCATTCGTTAGGAATATAATCATCCATACAAGATGTCGTATTTGCTCAACATTAAAAAAACGTCTTTAAATCAGTAAACTGGTAAGGACGTTAATATAAAATATAAGTTTGGTGTAGAACTTACCTAAGAGATTTCTTCAATAAAGAAATAAACAATTATTCGAGTTAAATGAATGTGGATTTCATTTTGGCATGAATCAAAAAAGGGTTTCCGTAATTTTTATGTGGAATTAAACCAAATTCAATGGTTTATTTATTTCAGATTTTGTCATGTTGATAAAGAATAAAAAATGTAGTTAGATGTAAACATATTTATTGGTACTAGCCAAAATCAAGTTTAAAAAAACTAAGGTATTTGAGGTAAAAAATAGTATGGCCATTTCGAAGTAATTTTATTATCCAGATTGTAACAGGTGGAATTGTTAGTAACTGAAATTTTAATGTAAAAGGGAGATGCATTCGTAAACAGTATTTGACATTTTTTGATTTTATTAAATATACACTTATATGGCCTTTTAGTGTTATTTTGCTGGAAAAAATTGTGTAGCCAGTTTTCAGATTATGAAGGGAAAATCTCTCGAGTAAGCCAGAAAGTACAAAAGTAACGATTTGGAAAAAAAAAGAATAAAAGCTTGCAATTGGCATTTGAATAACTTTTTTTTGTTGAAATTTCCATTTTCATAAAAAACAAAGCAAATTCTCAACCCTATTTGCCACAAAGTCTGCTGCAAAATACATATGTGTATAGTCTGATACGGTCTTAAAAGTTTGTTGAAGTCTACGTCAAGTTATGAGTGAAGGAGGTTAAAGGTTTAAACGTTTGAATTTTGAAATATAGTTTAAAGCTGCGTTTGTCATTTCTAAAACGGGAGTTTTGTCAAAAGCTGATAGTTGTAGAGTTATTCCTCTCCAACTCCTTTTCTCAATTGTTTGTAAACGTTGTTCAGTATTTCACACTTAATTTCTCGAACAGTCTCCGCAATACGTATTTTTAGTAAATTTGCATAATTCAACAGTACTACCACGTACAGTTGCTTTAGGTACCCCCAAAGAATGGGAGTTAACCCCTGCGACCGAGCTGGCTAATGTATTGGTCCATGCAGTTCAATCCATCCGCCAGGAAAATGTAAATTTAGAAATGTTATACCTTGTTGAACGTAAAGCTCAAGTGATTGTAATAAAAGACTTTGTGTTGATTTAAATTTCCATTAAAAAAATAGGGATCAATTCCATTGAACAACATTCCGACCCAACCTTTGACTTTTCGATATCTGGCGTTACCTAATAATCCCAAAACTTGGATTTTTCTTTGACCAATATCGAGAATTCTGTGAGGAAACAGTACCGTTTGCCGAAAATGTTTCATTCCATAAAATAAGCGATTTTCCATAGTGTTCTCGCCTACCCATAAACAAAATTCAGTCTTCAGTCTTCCGCTATTGCACGTATTTGTTTGTTATCTACTTATTTATTTATTTTGTGATGTTCCTATACTCTTATATGTAGTCTAAATGGAAAAATAAAATGATTGAGATTGAAAAAATAAGTCTCAAAACGTGATCTCTAACTTCTTAGGTGTGTCTAAATTTACGGTTTTATGGATGATTTTTTTTTGAAAATTGTCTAGGTATAGTAACGTATGGCTAACATTAGGTTCCGATGCTCGCTGGCGTAAAGAACTAATTTCTTTGTAGCTGTTCTACTTGCACTTAAATTTGGGTACTTTTCAGTAAATAACTGCATTGTATATACCTATACAAGACTTTTCCTGTGCCATAACCATTCAAACTAAGTAAATTCGCTGCTGTAATATTTTTTGTCAGGGCAATCTCGATGAACTATCAATAAGTGGCGTTTAATATGATGCTAATTATTTAATATGTCTCAAAATTTCCACCTAATCTTAAGCAATTATTAGATTTTTCTTTGTGTTAGGAGTTTCGATACAAGCAACGCTTTTGATAAAGAATAAGTTTTTTCTTAAAACCAATATTAAAAAAGTTTTCCTATACGAAACCTTATTACTTTACACACTATACTTTTCACCTAATCAGATTTTTGAAGAAATGAATTTTATTAATCTTTTAAGCCCATGGGGTTACTTACAATAATCCAATACCATTAAACTTCAAACATCATTTAGCATATAATATATTATGAAGGTTGATGTAATGGTTACGAAAACGAAACCAATTAATACTGTAAATAAATGAATATGTAAATAAATATGTGTTCATTTCACGGCACTTTGAATGAATTAATTAATCAGAATATATCGTAATTTCTATGTAGTTCTAAGTTAAGTACAGCATCCCAGTGCCATGTAATTAGAATGCTTTGCATTCTGTATGGTGTCTGGCCAAACAAATCAATAAATAAATAAGATTCTCAAAATGGCAGACCAATCGAACCAAAAATATTCCATGCGTTGCAAATTTGGGCGACTGTATATTCAGCAATTTTGTCATCATAAAATCGTATCATCCATTTCTTGCTGATTTTCACAGACGAATTTTTTTAACCATATTCAGATTTCAAGAACATCCTCAAAATCGTTTGCAAGCTCTCAAGCAGTTCCATGGACAAATCTCCGAAAACCATTTGCAAGCTAATCAGAATATATCGTAATTTCTATGTATAATCCGATTCCAACAAATTTGTGATGTTTCCTTGCACTTACGCACTCATCAGAAGTTTCTTTCGGAAGAAGCCAGGTCAGGTGATTTTTGCTGTGGTGGAAGGGAACTGTCCGATTTTATTTCCAATGCGCCACCCTGCCCAAAAGGTTGGTTAGCACGTTAAAACTTCTGTCCGCAAGTCCGCTCGTTATTTATCGAACACGAGAGCGCCAGGAAACTCAAAATTTCCGTGCTGCTTTAAATTAATTATAGGCTCTTCCAAAAATTGTATCTATGCGTTTTAGGGCCCTAATTTTTCTTACATTTGATAGCGTGATTATTGCAAAAACTAAATGGACATTTGCCAGAAGACGTTCGGAATTATCAAATTGAGATCATCAAGTCGAAATCTCATATTTGGGGATTAATATATACACTTTGTTATTAATTTTTGCTGATGGAAATGAAATCCCTCGCACCCTTTTTACATTTACCCCATACAGCAGTCCCTCCAATAAATTTAATGATGACCAAAAAAAGGTCAAAAACCCAGCACTCGGGCAGTAGATTCCTTATGGATCTTGGTAGATAGCAGCACAGTAAATTCCTTGATAATCGAAAGGCAGAAGTGTTTTTTTTTTCGGTGTAAACAGCAAAACCACCCAACCCAGTTGACGCCATTTGAGCGAAAGATATTAATGAGAACTCCGACGCTTGGCTGAAATCATTTATGCAACACCCATACGACAAGGTCCATCATGTCAAGCCTTTTGACAGTTGACGAATAACGTTCGAAAAAGGTAAATCCATCCAATGCATCCTTTTGAACGGATTTAAGAATATCAAAAGCTGCCCATGGTTAGTGTAGTTCCGTAAAAATCAATCTTTGTACAGAAAAACCTTTAGATATCGAAAACAGACCCTTTCAAATGGAAAAAAATGGTTTTGCAATTGCAATTGCAATACAATGCCACCTTTTGCCCGGATACCTTTTGAGTAGTGGGCATCTGCAACCATAGCGTTTCGCATTGCAAACATCCCTAGTTTAAGGTCAGTTTCTGAAGTATGACTGACAAGTTTGTAGATCATCATGGATGCATTTTTCACAAAATAATTAAAAATGAGAAGAATGAAGGTGCCAAAATTTTAGTCATACTATGGAAGAGTCAGCTTATTAGCTAAAACCTAAAACTGTGAAGATTATGCGGAACAATGATAAATTAAATAAAGAAGAAGGATAACCACCACACGAAGGTAGGTATATATTTATACACATTGCTCCATAATCCAGAAGTTCATTGAAACACGCGTAAGCATCATTTTTTGTGTAATTGATGTTTTCGATTCAGTCGCCTAGATACTAGCAATCTTAGTGTATACAAATTGATCAACTACGTATTATCGATCACGTTATATGAGGCAGAAACGCGTTGTTGAAAATATACACTCACTAAATTGTAATGGAATGCGAACTATATGGTCCGGATAAGAGACGCTCATTTAAATATAGAGATTGTTGCCGCAACTCGCAGCCATACTATTATACTATTTTGAGACCGTGCTAACTTCACCTGTCTGGCGAATGTACGATGCATATAAAGACATTTGTGAAACAAGTCATGGTATTAAGTAAAGCAATCCATATATTCCTTTCAAAATTAGGTCAAAGTTTCGGTCGATATGGTCAATGGCACACGCTACATCATGCGTCACTTTTGTATGCTGAAACTTCTCCGCATTTTACAAAAATGAACTAGTTGTATCATAAATACGTTAAAGTTCCTATACGCGACTTTGGGGAAAACGGAAAATTTGTGCGAATTCATATAACAAACGGATCGCATGCGATTAAAAATAGTCGGTGAGTGCCTATAAATAAAAATGGCCAGGTAGTTAAATAAAGCAAAACAGAGAATAACGAGCTGTGCTTAAAACTAACACACAAGTACACAATAAGAAATACACATCATTTGAATGTAGACGTTTATTAAAACAACACAAAAACAAAATTATGGCTAAACAGGCAAAAAGGCAACACAGGTGAAAGCGGTAATAGCACAAAAAAACTAATGTAACGATGACAATCTGTGCCGTGCTCAAGAAGTACTCACACATTACCTGATAGGGTAGAAGTTCTCGAACCTCATCCATATTGGTTATTTCGAACGTAGGTGGTTGCGGAAAAGGTCCTTTACCTGGATACGAAGTACTCCTACGAAATTTTACGGGCGAAATGACTTGTTGATGATTAAATGTTGGACTTGGTTTTCGACCAGCGACACCCATTTGTTGCAAAGGTGTAAGATTTGGAACACTTCTGCCTCTATTCCAAACAGACGAACTTGCCGACCAATTTTGGCCAGGGTTAGCCCACGACCCATATCCTGCTTTATAAAGCGGGTGACTGGGTTGTTGACGTCCCATGTTATGAGGGAAATTGTGGCTAGCTGTAATTGCTCTTCGCCCTTGATTTTGACTTACACTGTTGTTAAATAGCTGAGATTGTGTGGGTGATGGAAAATTTTGAAATCCTAGACCACCATTGACACTGGTTATGTTAGGAACAAAACCGTCTTCGATAGCTGTCGACCATAAAGCACCAGATGGGGTGTTAGACTCACTGGGATGAAAAAGAGGCACCCCTGAACTTGTCTTGTTACTGTGGGCCACCTGTTCGTTTAGTTTATCGGCCAAGTCTGACGCTACATTTGAGTTACTATCCGATTCTTGAGATTTGTCGTTAACCGCACTAATCACGTCGTCGTTATTTGTTCCGCTGACAGCCGTTTTGTCAACGAGTACATCTTGCATAGCTGTATGAGACTGTCCCTGTAGGACAGTCTTATCGCTCGTGGACGTAGGTGTGGTGTAGAATATTTGAGAAGGATTACTTTTGCTGCTGGTCACTCCAATGTCTACTGCACTTAAACCAATGTTAGTACTACCACTTAAACTAAACTCTCCCATTAGTGGAGTTTCACTATGTATAGGGGACGCCCGTTATGTCATACACCCGCAGACACTCCACCAGCCCACCGCTTTCTTGTCATTATATCACTATATTGCGCGAGCCGACCTACCAAGATTTCATCGAACGAACATGCGTGTTACATTGTGATCGTTCAGCTGATGGTCTGAAATTGTATTACCGCCTTCCGAGAGGACGCCAGCTCACAAACTCGTATGAATTTCCACATTGATCGCTGCAAACGCGGGGTATTACTGCGGAACACTTTGCGCTATTTTCTTTAGCGCAGTATTTGAATTTGAGGTCGCTATTTCTATAAAAATCACTTTATTTATAATTTCTTTTGTTTTTACGAATTTGAAATTGAAATAAAACACTTGACGCCAATTTGAAACATCATTTCGCGTATCTACACGTGACGAACCTAATATTATATCTGCAAATTACAGAAAAATGGCGCTCATTCGCTATGCGGATACAAAATGTGAAACTCAACCCACATTATCTAGTGAAACTAATAAGATAGCATCGCAATTACAAGTTATTTCCCCCATTCATGTAGCGCACTTTAGACAGAAATTCAATTTAAATTTGGTCGCCGTTGACGTATAGGCAACTAACATACCAACTTCAGATCTGACGACGTTTTCTAGAGAAAAATTTAAAAATTTGAGTACGGACTCCTTACAGACAAGTAAATACATATTAAAAGAGTGTACACCTCTCAGGAGGATGCATCGTGTCTTTTTGCTTCAAAAACTACCCCCTAACACGACATCGCACTGGTGTTTTCAATTTTTCTCAAAAACTGTTAGCCTGACGAGGAAAATTGATAGAGCTTAAATTATTCCTTATAAAATTCTACATCATTTATGTCCTATATGTTGTTTTTCTATATTGTACCCTAACGTCAAAAATATGTTGTGCGAACACGAGGGAAGTGATAAATGTCTTGAAATATACAAGCAGATTGTTTTTCACAAACCGGGCTATAAACACCAATTAGTGTGTTGGACATTACGAGACACCACTACGCGTTTCCCCTTTAGATCTAATTAATTCGCTAAAAACCAATTAGGTCCTTTTTATTTAACAATGGATTTCAGGTAATTCTTCCTTGCCCGCAACCCTTTTTACAACTATAAGATATCAAATGAAGAATAATGTAGAAGCTGGCATCTGAGTTGAGAAAATTGGCACCATTGGCTAATTATTTTCCACGAGTCAAAATTTTTCCAGGCCACGCATGTATTTGACAAACGCGTCAAGAATGTTGTTTTTTCTCAGCTCATACTAGAATCAGCCCTGTGATGTATCACAAACGTTAAACTTAACGTGCAGGTTATTTGTTAAAAATGTCATTTTGCCTATACTAAATAACGCAGACAACCTGCACGTTAAGTTTGACGTTTCTGATACATCTGAGGGCTGATTGTCTGGTTTCATCCATGATGAATTGTTAAATGTATTCAAAGCGTAGTCCATGTCCCTTTTAGTATTTATCAAGTTTATAATTTGTGCTTTACCTTTGCCAAGAAAGGCAGTTTACAAGAAACCCTTTTTTTCGAGTTGGGGTAGTTTTTGGGCTGTACATTTTTGGCAGGATAGTCTACGTAGTTGAAAAACAATAGCGGCCTTTCTTATATCCTTAAGAACATGAGTAAATAGTTGGTACATTCATTAGAAGAAGTTGTTATATATTATGTTTCAAAATGATACTCCCCAATTCGATGAAAGGGGATTAACTACATTAACCCAACCAATGCAGTAGTCGGTTCATTGATGAACGTTCAAAAATTCAATAACCTGACCTTTTCCAGAGCTCATAAATATGGACCACGTGAACTATAAGGACGTTTTCGAAAAAAGACGCATATACGCATAAAAACCATATTCAATTTTCATTGCGGCACTAATATACTGAAGTTCCAAAATATGTCATCGTTTAATAAAAGTATTTTAACCATAGGTAATAAAAGTTTTGGAACTCCAAAATTAGCCCGAGGAAAACTACATGCTAAACACTACCTTTCTCGGCACGGAAGCATCCTCCATTCGCCCCCATAATCACCCCCAAAAATATTCTCAAGTTCAAACCACAAACGTTACAATACACACACAAACCCGGCCGCGGAATTACTACAATACTAAACAAATCGAATTCAACATTTGGCGTTATCAGTTACCTACAATAATATCTGGTTTTTCCATTTATAGGTGTCCGATCGTATGACGTGTGACCCTATCTCACTTTTATTTTCTTCAGGTGTAATGCAAATGTTTTTAGGACATATTTCTTCCTTTGTAGTAATTTTTTGCGGTAAAGAATACAATCAAGTTCCGCTGGGCATTAAATTTAAAACTGTGAAGTAATTGAAGGGCGATATAAATGGCATTCCAAGTAAATGCAAGACACCCATGGGCAAAAGGTAACCTCATGGTCTCCACCAACTTGTTAGGTTCATACAAGAGCAAGAAATATTAATGGGAGGTACAAGGCTATAATTACGGAATGCTGAAATAGCTAAGATTACACTTATGAAGAACGTTCGGATTCTGTAAATCGATAGAATTATATGCCTTGTCCTGGACAATTAAAGTATTAGCATCACCTGTGCAGTTGATCAATTAAACGTTCTCGTAGTCATATAGCCCTATACAAGTCGAGACTAAAGCAATCCACTTTGCACAGTTGTATAACAAACATTTTTAGAAGGGGAGCTATCCGCCCCCCTCTGGCAGAGGAGAGTGAGCCACCCCTAAAAGTGCATTTTTTAGTTTTTGGTATTTTACAGGAAAACTTCATCCCCACTCTAACCACTAAAGCAAAACGTCAAAGGTGATTACGATTTTTACAATCGACAAAAATGCTGTGGAGGACCAAATCACTAAATATTTTACTCAAAATTATGTTCAACCAAAAGGGAACTCTATAAATTGTTCACTAAAAAATATGCAAAAAGGTACAATCCCCCCGCTCCACTCTCTCATTGCCATAGTCGTCAACATCAGACTCTTTATTATTATACCTATTCATAGAACGATTTATTATGACTATTATTGAAATAAATTAGCATTGGCCCATTTCCCTTCCAACAGTTGGGAATAAAGTTTTTCGATTATTTTTTTTTAATAAACAATTATTTGAAAACGTAGATATCGTCAACACATAAATAACAACAAAAATAGACTACAACAAGTGTTCAAAGTGATTTCCTTCTAATTCTAAACAATAAGCTAACCGATCTCGAATTAATATTTCTTTGGGCGTGACGGATAGGTGTACACACGTGTTTGAGGCTTATTACTGTACTATTCCCAAAGGCGAAGTTTGGTAAACAGTAATTTGTCTTCTCCGCTCTACCAGTTAGCCTCAAATATGTCAGTTGTAAAGGAACTATAAGAGAAATATCGAAATATCAAGTTATAATAAACGACCCATATCCAGACCTTTGTTAGATAACAGTCTTTGGACATGTCACCTATCGAGCTTTAATGATCGTATTCGTTTTTTGAAAGTTTGATAGAAAGAAGAGATGCATGTCCCTTGACGGCTTTCCGTTGTTTTGGCTATTAATTCTTCCATTTTCAAGTATAATGTTGACTGTGAGTGTAGTTTCAATTTATCGACTGGGCCATGATAAATACAACGTTAGTTTATTTAAAACTTGATCGTTAACATTTTAAATGACGTTCTTTCCCCTTTTCCGTGATGGTGACCTCTATAATGGATCCGTATCAACAAAGTCGTAAGCTTTGAATGATGTGTCATAAATAGTAGGTACATTCATTAGAAGAAGTTGTTATATATTATGTTTCAAAATGATACTCCCCAATTCGATGAAAGGGGACTAACTACATTAACCCAACCAATGCAGTAGTCGGTTCATTGATGAACGTTCAAAAATTCAATAACCTGACCCTTTCCAGAGCTCATAAATATGGACAACGTGAACTATAAGGACGTTTTCGAAAAAAGACGCATATACGCATAAAAACCATATTCAATTTTCATTGCGGCACTAATATACTGAAGTTCCAAAATATGTCATCGTTTAATTAAAGTATTTTAACCATAGGTAATAAAAGTTTTGGAACTTCAAAATTAGCCCGAGGAAAACTACATGCTAAACACTACCTTTCTCGGCAACGAAGCATCCTCCATTCGCCCCCATAATCACCCCCAAAAATATTCTCAAGTTCAAACCACAAACGTTACGATACACACACAAACCCGTCCGCGGAATGACTACAATACTAAACAAATCGCATTCAACATTTGGCGTTATCAGTTACCTACAATAATATCTGGTTTTTCCATTTATAGGTGTCCGATCGTATGACGTGTGACCCTATCTCACTTTTATTTTCTTCAGGTGTAATGCAAATGTTTTTAGGACATATTTCTTCCTTTGTAATAATTTTCGCTGGACATTAAATTTAAAACTATGAAGTAATTGAAATGGCATTCCAAATAAATGCAAGACACCAAAACGCAAAAGGTAACCTCATGGTCTCCACCCACTTGTTAGGTTCATACAAGAGCAAGAAATGTTAATGGGAGGTACAAAGGCTATAATTACGGAATGCTGAAATAGCTAAGATCCCATCAGGAATCTTGGGATAGAAAGAATCATATTTTGAGGAAAACAACACCTACGCATGTTTTATACCTCCCCTGTTCCAAAGGGTTTGCTTTTTGTATAAATTTTATGCACAACCTCGCACACAAATCCGCAGAATGTGCCGCGCTGGAGCCTATGACCACTGCCGAATTCTCTTCAAGCAACTGAGGATATTAACGATTTATTCACTATACATATACAAGTGCGTTGTATATGTATTTGAAAATAAATCACAATTCACTGCCAACAAAGACGACAATCGTAGAATGCTAACACGCCACTATTCGAATCCCTGTGTCCCTCACCATGCCACTTCACTCTATGAACATTCATCAAGATATATGGGCACAAAACTTTTCAACCATCTTCCACCACATATCCGCAACTGCGCCTCCTCGAGGGAGTTCAAGAAAATAGCCCATAACCTGTTCGTCGATCACCCCTACTATAGTATTGGAGAGTATTTGGTTCAAAAGCTGTGATAACCTTATTTTTAATGTTTGTTTGTTACTGTTACTGTACTGATCTGTCTCCATGTCTTTTTACACTTATTTGTACGATCACTAATTGAGAATCCAATATTACTTAATGTAATCGAAATGGAATTAATTTTACATCTGAATTTCATAGCCTACCCTACGAAGGAGAGACAGGGGAAATAATCCGTGTAAAAGTTAACTTTGTTTTTTTCTAAATAGATCGTAAACGGTGACATTCATCATCATTATCTTCGACGGTTCCAATATTAAGGGCTTTGTGACAGTTTACGTTTGAATTTGCCAGGATGCCCGTTGGCAGCGACATGAACGAATTCAACTTTGGAAATGGGGCATCTCGAATCGCAGATCGATCTGAGTTGCCGTGATAGCCGGAAAACAACGTGCTGCTCTCTAGTTGAAAAAACCACCCCCACGAGCTCCTCAAATAACTTGCAGATGGCGGTGCTTCCTGGTGGCCCCAGTATTTCCTCTTCCTCGCCACCTGAACTTTTCATGGAGCGCATTAGAGTATGACCATATCCTGCCCAAGGCGGATGTAAAAAACATATCTTGCACGTAGAGATGGGCGCATTTCGCGTATTGGAAGTTTTTAGCGCAACCTACAAAGGTGGAGCGCCTATGTCCTTATTTTTGCGTCCGTCGTTCCACCCTATAGCTCAGTCCGTAGACCTCATCTCGACTTCGGGTTTTCGTTATATTAAATATGTGCAACTATCAAAAATTAACTTTGTAATTTTATCTATATAATATATACCTAATTCCAGTTGAATTTTAATGTTAAAATCTATAAAAGCCTCTTGAGACGGTAGAATCAGAACAACTAATAGCTCAAATGGGCTTAAATACTTCAATATCCAAAATCAGCAAATAAGTTGGCTTCTTTCAATAGAATGTGTGCATGTCTCGATAAAGGTGAACTGGAGTGTGAAATAAAACCTCAATTGTTCAGACATCTTCGCATTAACATAAAATAACCATCAGTTACCAGAAAAATTAAACAGTCGGCACTCTTCCGATATAAATATTTGATTAAATGCGGATCAGTCATTGAATCTGTAGCAGGTTTTTATAGAATTGAAATTATCTTTCCTACTTTCCAATTGCAACAGATTACGTAACTTTAAGTTTGTATTAATACCAAGCGTATATAAAGTGGCTCGTGTACAATTTCAACTTGTTTCTATACAAAATTACAAATACCGAAGATTCACATTAAATTTTATTAATAATCGTAATCCGCATTGATATACGTCGTGAGTTTCCCCGAATGTCCACTTTGTCCAACATCGGCCGGTACGGGAAGAACACCTCCTTTGCTAGGATGTCCATCTCCCTCATTTTTAACTCCAGATGAAGCGGCTGCCGCAGCAGCTGCCTTAGCGGCATTGTTTTGCGCCTGCATTGCTGCAAATTGTGCCTTTTGAGCAGCCACTTGCGTTGCTTCAAAGTCCAGTCGAACACCGTGCAACTGTTCAGCTAGAGCGTCCACTCGTTGTTGAGCCGCACCAACCATTGCAACTTGAGCTGCTAATTCTCCGGCGGCTTCGGAAGCGGTTTGAGCCGCGCCATCGGCTGTAGCTTGAGCAACATTTAGGGCCGCGGTTAAAACTTGTACGTGGCGTTGGGCCTGTTGAGAAGTTTGCTCGGCAGCAACCGCGGCTCTTTGAGCTTGTTGAAGTTGTTGTTTTTCACCCTGCAAACCTAGTTTCGCATCACGATGTTGTTGCTCTAATCCTTGAAGAATAATTTGTTTGCCTGCCAAAGCTGCCTGGGCAGTAGCGGATGCCTATAACAAAGTTTTTAAAATTGTTTCAGAACCACGGCTGATCACTTACAGCATTAGCTGCTTGTGCAAGCGTATTTTTTGCAACGTACGCAGCCTGATGACCGGCGGCATCTTGACTTTGCACAGCTGTGTGGGCCTGTTCGGCTGACCCTTGAGCAATGCTTCTCAAGCCACTACCCGCACTATACCCTAGTTTATCATCTCCGCCGCCAGATCCAGTCGCTGATGAAACTTCCGTTTTCTTACTTCGACTAGCAATTAAATCATCTTTGTTTTCTTTAAATGAATTATAAGTAGCGTAATTTTCAAATTTGTTTGATTCCGATCCAAAAAAATCGCTCAATATGTCATCAGTAAAGCTTTGCCACTTTGTAGGTTTACACGTCATCCCAACAACTATTAAAAGAAGAATCAATAGATATTAAAGGAATTTCAACAACTTACAGGCACAAACGACAATAAATTGTTGAAACATTCTATACGCACTCATTTCTGAAATAAAGAATTCACTACACTAGTCCGAGCAGTTAAAACTAACAAAAAAACCGCAGGTACCTCCCGAAGTACTTCGACCACAATCTGTGCACTACTGTTCTTAACAAACGATGACGCAATTTATATCTTTCGTTTTAGCTGAAGAATTACTGGAAGTAAATAAAAACATCGAAATTGCAAACGTAAAAGATATCGATAATTACTAAAAAGTTAAAGTGAAAACCGTAACCGATCAATTCTTTTTTTTTATTTAGAGCTCAGTAGGTACCACTCTCCAAATAGGACCACAACTCCAGTGCATTTCGTTTACAAGTAATTTATAATTCGATGTAAAAACAGTAATGTACGCGCTATGATGTAAGTTGACTGTGCCAATTTTTTTTCTTTAAAAAGATTAGGTTTAGGGAAATGACGAATAAAGCGCGGGCAAAGTCGTAAACAAAAGAGAAGTGCAGCTACTTGGTACTTAGTTATGTTTGAGAGTAAGATAAGTTCAAAAAGATTTAGCAGGGAAACAGAATGTAGATTCATTATGCATCCCATTAATTTACCTTGAACTTGTGCTGAATTGGAACCCTAAGGAATACCTTCAAACTGGCGATGCGTACAAGCCGTTAGGCCAAGGTAAAAAGAAATGGTACTTCTTGATACCAAAACAGCTCGCAAAGCTCAATTAATTTGTTTTCATTAAAATGTAGCAATTATTTGATTATATGTTTAGTTGAGCAATGCTTTTAAGATTGCTGAGTTTAAATTGAATAGTGACGTGGTATTCGAAAAACTACCATACCTTTTTTGTGACAATTTATCCCAATCGTGTAGTCATACACCAATTGTACCCGAAAATACAGCTGTTCAAAATTTGATAGGTCTTCAGGGTAGAATATGAATAAAATACGATTGGTTTCAAACCAGAGCGACACCAGTATAATCCACACTACTCTCAGAAACGGAAGAACTCAAAGATTGGTGCCGTAACAACTTCTAAATTGTTCGAGACGGGACGTTAGGATAAAGAAACATCGCCGTAAATAGGATTAATTAATAACGCATTTTTTGTTCCGAATGTGCCTGTATTAGTAATGCTAATTTCCTATTAGTAGCTTTCAGATTTTGTCATTTTTTTCATTGCATATAGAGGGCCGGCTTTCGCGAAAATAGTACGAGGCAGAAAAAAAAACAGTATTACTCTGAGTGCACTAAGATTGGTGTTAAACAATAATCTTTATTATGCGGGATCACTTTTTCAACGGGCAGACTTGCAAACTACATTGGTGTTCTTCGGTAAAGGACCTCCTGAAAAGAAGAGGTTCGACAAGCGGTTGGGGAGAGGACAGAGGCCAAAAAGAAGTACGATCTTTCTCAGCTAAAGAAGAGTACAAGCGTTTGAAGAAAGAAACAAAGCGGGCTGCCACCACGACGAAAACCAGTGCTCAAAATAAATTGTAGAGACACTTTGAACGCTGAAAGAACCGAACAGGCTGTTCGGCATAGCGAAACCAAGGAATAAGGTTTCAAAAGACCTTACTGAGTTTAGAGCGAGGATGGCGTTCCATTGGAGGCGTTGAAAGCTTTTGGACAGAAAAGAATTAACATATTGTGTAAGAGAGGGACAATGTGCTTATTTGCAAAGGAAAAAGAGATATACAAGTCAGTTTGGTTTAATGCCTGTTTAATGCAACCGACTACTTTAGCCCGACGCTACTTGCACAATCAATTGTCGTCAGTCATGCGTCGCAATAAACTTGTTGTTGCAGAAGTGGTAAAAATAGTGAACAGTTAAAACAAATTAAACATTAATTTGTTTCTTTTAGTGGAAAATATCGATGCCTTTTGCAGTGATCATTCGAATCTTAGCGTTATGAGTAATCATTCTTCTGCTGTCACACATCTTCTATAATTGCTGTTGCTTTTGGCAATTAATGGTCGCGCAAAGTCAACCAAAAGGAAACAAACACACATACAATTCATAGATAAAAATTTTTCTTCATGATTAGTTCTCGGGTACAAATGAAAGGCACCTCTGTTTCTATCGGTTATGTATGGATCACTGTAGCGACGAATGTTCCTTCTTCTTTGGTGCAAAATCATAATTTCGTCTTCACTTGACATCTCATCGAAGACAACCCGATAAAAATCATTCGAAAAGCGACCGACCTATGGACACGAATTGCCGATTTTAATCGGCCCGATCATTTTTGGATAAACGACTACAGTTAGACCGATCTTCGTCGCCCCGATGCGGTAAACCTTAGACAGATGTTGGAGAAGTATGGAAAAAACAGGAACTTCACCTCATTTTCTACTGTGAATAGGACCTCTATGAGGATGCGAAGAGATATCAAAGAAGTATGTCCACCTGGTGACAAACACAGCAGATAGAAATCGCGATATGGAGATCAATCACAAGACTCAGATGCGATGGATGAATTGGAAGACCACCTATACGATAAACGCACAGCAAGAAGGTCAAAGGGGCTGATTTTCAAAACACTGGTGCGATCAGACCTCCTCCATAGTGAGACATGGGCCGTACAGAAGTTCAAAAAAAGAGGTTTGAAGTAGACGAAATGAGGATGTTATGGAAAAGGCGAAGGGTAAGGAACGAGTAGTTCAAATAACCGGAAGGAGTTGTGGAGGTGTCGAAGAAGGTGCAAGAGCCATGTGTTTAGGGGATATGAGGCACATGTATTAAGAATAGTCTGCATATAAGTGGCAAGCGGACCAGACATAGACTGTATGGCGGAGGATTTGAGGGAAAGAAGGACACGAGAGGTGAGGGAGAGTGGAGGAAAAAAGACACGAGAGGTCGAACAGAGTGGAGGAAGAAATTTAAGAACTGCGACACCTATGTATTAAGCATTAACTGAAGAAAAAGAACAAGATCACCATCCCTCAGCCTATAATATTGAGGTGGAAAATATTTTCCAGCATTACTTAAAATCTCGAGCTCGCTCCCAATTTTCGTAAAATTGGATGCAATCGTCTCCTTTCGAAAGCTTCATGTTTGTTTGACGCAAAAAAATGGCAACAAGTGGTAAAAAATTATAACAAAAATTTATTTGCAATTTTTGGAAAGTAGGAAGCTACCACAGCTCTCTACACATGTGTGTGCTACCTTACTGCTTCATTCTGGTTACAGTACAGCTGAAATCATCCCTTGTAAATAGCTTCCCTTCACATGTAAATATTTACCAGGTACTGCACTTCGTCACATCCCGACGCCTTTATGAACAACAATGGATTTGATTAGGAAACAGTGGGATAGTGCATGATTTAGTCATTTACAAATAGTTTGTGCAAGAAGGGGAATCTGGAGCCACCTGACCACATAGGAGCCAGATAAGAGTGAATGAATTATACATTGAAATTCACACATTGGAAACAATCGAAATAAGTAGACACGTTCGGGACCAATAAGAATCTTAAAGACTCGACAAAAGCTACCACTTTGAACCATGGACGAACGTGAATTAGAACTAAGTAGGGAACTTGATGCCTGGAGACGTCTACACTACCCGACGGGAAGGAAGAAGGCAAGAATCAGTGACTTCTGCGAAGAACACATTAGGAATTCCGCATTGCATATGTTGGTGGTACGAAACGTGCTGGCAGAGTCTCATTTACTCTTCGAAGACAAGATATGCAAACTGTATTTTCTTTAGAGCCATATTGTAATAATCGATTGCTAACCGGCGAAACCTCAACTTCCGCAACATACATCATCATCATCCACATTAATGTTCTCATCACTGTAACCACAACAGCCAATAATTCTCAATACATTTCTAACTTAACATCTAAATTATATAACAGATAAGGAACTTCATTTAAAAACCAAATGGTTTTGTCACAAAAACTAAAAACGGACGCCTCCTATTATTGGACATTTTTATACGATCTGAAAGTGAAAGTTGATGGCTGAACTTTACTTCACTTGTAAATTGGAAGAAATTACTTTATTTGTCCATTTAATTTATGTTGCACACCTAGCATCTATGCATTATAACATCACTTAACACTTATATCTCTAATCAACAAATTACCTAATGCCTTTGTATAATACATCTATAAAAACTTTTAAATAATTTAGGTAAATAATTAATACACCTTAAACCTAAAATAAATAATTATCATGTACTCTTTAGGAATCTCTCCTTGGTAATTCTGCAATAGGTACATACCTTATCAGTGAATACAAAACAATATCGAGATATTAATATGGATTTTCCCTAGACAGGTACCCGCATTTTACCTTACACGTTTCGGTACGTCAAGTTATCAAAAGTATAAATATAAACAAAATTACAGTTAACTCAGTCTTTTAGGTTTGATTTTGGAATTCTTGTATCATTTTTATATGATGAAAAGAAAGTTAATGCCTTCATCAGTTGATAACTTTTGGAAACTGGAATGTTGGAATCGTACAACTTTTTAGAATTTTTACATTCTACATAAAACCACCAGTTACACTTCAATATTGTTTGATCAAATAATGTTGATTCTGGACAAAGAAAGCTCTTCATGATCAAACCATCGTCGGTTAGGGCGCATACGTGAAAAACCTAAAACAAAACATAGATTTAGTTATAGTACCTACGATATTTAACCATCACCAACCAAAAGATCTTTCATCAATCTACTAAAGCTTACGAGACTTCACCTAATGATGATTGATTTGACAACTTTTAGCTAAAGGTCGCGCTATCCTCCTCTTTTAATCGAAGGAAAACTTGTTTTGTAAGGAAGGATATAGGCAGATCTTGGCACGCAATACAAAATTCTAATTTTCACCGATTTCATTGGAAAAAATGACTAAACGTATTTGCATTTGCCATTTATTTAAGAAGAATGAAGTCCATTGTCTTTTCCTTTTCTATAGGCGTAGCATAGGATAGTTTGGAATAAGGAATTGTTAGTAAATCAGTGGTGGCTGTAAAAAGTTTGTATTCTAATCGGTTTAACCCAAAAATGAAATAATTCTTTAGTGTATCGAAAAACCTGTTACAATTTACAAATCATCACTACCGGAAATGAAAATTAATGAACAAGCTGTGGGTAGCTATAATGAAGTGATTTCTGTGGCATGACTGTTATAATTGGGTACTAATTATTTTGCAACAAACTCTGAACAATAACAAACGTGAAAAGCGTCAAATTAATTTTCTTGCAGAAAACCTATTGTGTCAAAATTTGGAACGAATGTGATAAATTCAGGAGAAATTTAGCAACAAAAAGGTCAACAACAACCAATTTTAATATTTTCTTTTCTTTGACAAATGTAAACGGATTTATGCATGGGTCATCCTTATTGGCAAGGTGCTTTACAATGGGTTTCAAAGTAAGCTTTAAAAACTGGATTGTAGTGTCAAAAAATGTTTTGCGCTAATCAGTCTGTTCTTTTGGATTTCGGGGACAGAGAAAGTACAGAATGTGTACCAAATCCGCGTGATGTTACCTAATTATTGAAAGGTACGATACGCATTTATCATACCTATATAACAAGTGTCGTGGGCAAACCATTGCACTTTTTTGGAAACGTGATGTATATAATCATTAATCACTATCCTTTGTAACGCGACGGTGTAATGCAGGTGCATGTATATCAGCGTCTTACGCAGTCCTTTTTTTAAAATTTGTACATCAATCAGCGTCGTAATGGCGACAAGAAAGAAGCTGAAAAAGTAATAACTTTATAAGTATACTAGGCACAAGATTAGCCCGTAAACGGAAATGGATTAGATTTTGTTGAATTAAACTGAAAGTTGGCAATTTCGCCAATTAGTTGTAATTAGCAGGTCTATATTCCCATTAGTGGAAATTGGCTCACATTTTTTAAGCAGTCTCCCATTTTTTCACTTTTCATACCAATATAATCTAGATTTGTTTTTTACATTTTATATTGTAAAACTTGCACACACAACAGCCTATCCATCCAACTTTCCGTGTCCATGGTACTTTGGAAGAATCAACCCCAAGTATTCTTAGCCCCCCATTATTATTATTATTCCAAAGCAAATTAAAAGCTTTTAAGTACACGCAATTGTAATTAATGATCCGGGTCGATCTGAGACAATTTTTTCTTCGCGCCTCAAAAAAAGGCAGTGTATACACTTCCTTTTTTACCAAAAATAGACTGCAACAAGATTTCTCGGGAAAACACTTTTTCTTATTAATTTTGGACCGTAGAATCCAAAACAATTCGTACTTTTTCGATCAGACTTCTCAATCAAAAGTTATAGACTAGAAACCAATTTCGAAAGAAAATTCAAAGGGCTATAACTTTTGAACTAGTAGCCCAATCTTGGAACTGTTTGAAATTATGGATTCTACAGGCCACATTCTATAAGAAAATTTTTTTCCGGGTCGATCTGAGACAATTTTTCTTGAGGGGCTCAAAAAAAGGCAGTGTACAACCTTCCTTTTTTACCAAAAATCGACTGCACCAAAATTTCTCGGGAAAACACTTTTTCTTATTAATTTTGGTGCGCAGAATCCAAAACAATTCGTACTTTTTCGATCAGACTTCTCAATCAAAAGTTATAGACTAGAAACCAATTTCGAAAGAAAATTCAAAGGGCTTAACTTTTGAACTAGTAGCCCAATCTTGGAACTGTTTGAAATTATGGATTCTACAGGCCACATTCTATAAGAAAATTTTTTTCCGGGTCGATCTGAGAAATTTTTTTTGCGGGCCTCAAAAAAAGGCAGTGTACAACCTTCCTTTTTCACCAAAAATCGACTGCACCAAAATTTCTCGAGAAAACACTTTCTCTTATTAATTTTGGTGCGTAGAATCCAAAACAATTCGTACTTTTTCGATCAGACTTCTCAATCAAAAGTTATAATGGAATCTCACGGTAGACAACGAACAGCAAGTGATCTCTTCATAAAAGCATTGAAAGCATTAGCAAAGTCAAATTTCACAACCAAATCTGCACTATTCTTAATGTCCAAGAAAGTTTGAGCCTATTATACCAAATCCTAGTTGTATCAGTCTTAACGTGGCACGTGATTCCTCACGAACTATAGCACAGGCAACTTTACTAGCAATACGTCCGAAAGTGTGGCCACATGCTATCTGACGAATCCCACCATCTTTTTTCGGCAAGGCCGTCAATGAAGCGCCAAAGAATATCGGCAGAATTAATTTCGGTAAATTGCCTTCCAGAACGGCATCAACAAATTTGGCAAGGGCTTCTAATAAAGCTAGCGTTGGAGCGGAATTAGGAATCGTTATTAAATCTGAAAGGTGTCTCGGTCTTAGACCATCAATTCCCACAGAAGAGCTTCTAGGGATAAGCTGGAAAGAGCTTTCCTTATGGATAGTGGCCTATTGCCAGAAATTGAGCACGAAATTGAACTTTGTGAATGACATAAGTCGTCTGACATTTGCCAAATTATTGTTTTATTAACCTTCCTATATATCTAATTGCGTCGAAGAGTAAAGAGAAGGCCGAAGCAACTAAAAAATTGCAATTAACAAATTCTTTTTTTACGGATCTAGGCATCAAACTAATGCATTTAGACATTTTCACTTTAGATACTTCAGAGTGGGCGCTAGAGCTATGAAATTAGAGAAAAATAAAGAGTCAATTTGTATCTTCATAAAGAATCTCTACATAAAACGCTTTCATTCTTTATCATCGAGGAGTAATCATTTATCAACTTGCTGGTGCCTTAACAATGTTCTAGATTCTAGTTCTAGAAGGATAGCTACAATATAAATGAGACTTCGAGGCCATTTTAACTTCATTAAACATAACTATCGCCAGCTCTTAAGGCAAGAACAAGAAGTATGCAGGTCTTACTCGCCAGAAAAGAAACGAAATAGCAAGACTTATGCAAAACAAGACAATACAAGAAATTGTCAATCAAATCAAGGAATCTACCTTTACACTATCGCATCAACCAAACCAAAAAAAGCAAAAAATTAAAACCAAAAACAGCGTTTACGCAGATAAAAAAAAGTAAAAGGTACTAACGTAAATAATTCATAAAATGTTGTCTCTAATAAGTAGGTAATAAAGTAACCTACGGAGGTTTAACGAACAAACCATATTTCGCTACTGCAACGATTGCTTCTAAATAAAAGCTCGTAATTCATCTACAAAATTGCGTAGGTGCGAGAAATCAAGTTTGTCACACTACAATAAATTTGCACTGAAATTTGAAAGGCTTTTTGTTAAATACCTTTTAAATTGAATAGGAGTAGCGAAGGTGACTGACTCGAAAAAACGACAACCAATATGGCTTATCTAAGAAAGCAATAAAGAAAGGATGCTGCGATGCTAATTTCATTAGCACTGGAAGTAATTAAAAAACTTGTTGAATTATAAAAGTTGTGAGGTTTCACATGCACCAGGTAGATACAATTACATTCGATACATTCTTGCATAATCTGGTATGGTACAATTAAAATGTATATCAAAATAAATAATAACTTTAATAATTGATATTTCTTGGTTTAAATCTATTTTCTTATTTTGTACCTTTCGATTGAATGCATTGGGAAAGTCGTCCACGAAATGTTATTGATGTATTACTCCATTTATAATAATTATAAGTTATGTTAGGTTGTATATAATGAAACTCTTATAAATGGAATTTTCCTACTGGTTATCGATTTCGAAATCAGACCTTGCTGTATGCCATATTTACACCTACGTATTGCAAGCAAGCTATGTTGATGAAATTGTATTCAAATATTTCTCTAACAATATCCAGTAGAAACCTAAAAAGGTTTTAACGTTGCATAGTCAAAATATGCCTCATCTACACAGATAACATTACGTACATGTACCTTTTTTTCTGCCTTTATTCAGCAAATTTAGAATCTTCTATATAAGTAGGTACTATCAAGAGCAATAGGTGGATCAGATGTATGATCTTGAAGAGAGAGTCAACCAGCTTTGAAGCTTTTAAGTACCAATGATTTTGAGGATTTCGGAGATCAGACGGCCATTGTCTTTTCAGTCTGCGTATTATGTTAGAGACGGGTGGCTGATTTGGCGTGATTGCATGATTGATTTATAACAGCAATCAGAATTACATTGTATAAGCAATTTAACTGGCTGGGAGGCTAGTTAAGGTCTCTCTATGTCCGGATGAGGCTTCTACTGGCCATCTTCTTTTCATCTTTCTGTGGTTTCTCTGTTGTTAATGTACACTGGAGAACATTTTTCTTTTTTTAATGTAAAGGTTAGGTATATATTGTGACTTTCTTTCGTCCATTTTTATAAGCCATTCCTCTTTTTGAAAGAGATGGCCCTGAAGGTTTGCAGACGCTGTTACTGGGTCTTCATGGACAGCTAAGGCAACAATATCATCTACAAACGTGCCAGTTGTGGTGGAATCTGATGTGGGGAGGTTTGATGTGTATAACAGATATAGAATTAATCCTAAGACACTGCCTTGGAGGACTCCAGATTTGATGGGTTGGAGCTGAGAAACTTCATCATTAACCTTTGTTTTGAGATACCTGTCTGTTAGGTACTATTTCAAAAGGTAGTAGTAAGGATCTCGTAGTGATTGTTTAATTTTGTGTAAAAGACCCCTGTGCCAG